GCTGTCGACATGTGGGAAAATGCATTTAGCAATTGAATCTCTGCAAGCCAACGATTGAAAATACAAATGGCAGGAAAAATATTTTTTTAAAAGACAGCACCAAGCGAATTGAAAATGAAACCGGGTAGATAGGAAAGACATGATATCGATTATGCGTCAGACAGTGGGAAACGAGAAGACAGGGATATCCTGGACCACCGACGTGAAGAACCTAGAAGACCTGGATTTCGCGCGTGGATGATTTATGTTTGATGTCACAAAAAATCGAAGACTTACAAGCGAAAACCGACAAACTAGTCGATGAAGCAGGCAGTGAAGACACGACTCCAGGTGAACATAGACAAGACGGAGGTTATAAAAAAACCAACAAACAACAACAACAGCAGCAACACTCAGCGCCAAACACCATCAACGGGAGGGATTTGAAACAGGTTACTTCATTCACTTATCTAGGGAGCATTGTCTCAACTACACGAGGAACGGACGAAGATGTCAAATCGAGCGAGAATCGGGAAGGCGAGAAACACATTCATCAACCTGAAACCGATCTGGAAATCTTCGTCACTCAACTCACTATCAACAACAAAATTCGGATTTTCAATACAAACGACGTCAAGTCGGTCAGTTCTTCTATACGGATGGATCAGAAACTTGGCCAGTGTGTCACAAAGAATATTTCCAACAGCCTGTTGCAGACCTTTATCAACAACTGTCTTCTCTGGCTCTATACTGAAGATCAGATGGCCGGAAAGAACAAGAACCAACAAGATACTATGGGAAGAAACAAAACAAGAAGCAATCGCTCAACTGGAGAAAGTGGAGATGGATTGGACACTCGCTGAGGAGGCCACTGGGTGACATCACGCGTCAGGCCAACGCTCGAGTGGAACCCGAAAGGGAAGCGGCGAGTGGGACGTGCAAGGGTGAATGGAGGAGATCGTGTGAAGGGGAATTGAAACAGTATAGACTAACATGGATGGAGATGAAAAGTACAGCAGAAGACAGGAGCAAGTGGAGACGTGTAGCTGAAGCCACATGTTCCACTAGGAACCCAAGGGAACAATAATAATAATACCTTTCAACTTATCCATTCACAACTTCAACCTATCTACGGCAAAGGTGTGTAGACTCAGAAAGCGAAACAGAAGCTTATCAATCGATCAAACCACAAAAATAACTGACAAGTATGAAGAAATAATTCCTAATCAATAAAAGTATTACAACGTTGACTACAGACGGAACTCATGAAGGTGTCAAAGTCAGAATTGGAAAGGCAAAGTACACCTTCATCAATGTGAAATCAGTTTGGAAATCTTCGACACTCAGCCAGCATAAACAACAAGATTCGGATTTTCAGTGAGTCCGTCAGTTGTTCTATATGGATCAGAAATGTGGCGCACACGTCACGAAAAGCATTTCCAACTGGATACCGCAGAATTTTATCAACAGCTGCCACCTTCGCTGGCTCCATGTTAAAAATCAAATAGCTATTTAGAAAAGATTAACAACAAAAAACTATTGAAACAAACAAACTAGCCAAGAACCTTTCGCTCAACATATACGTGGGAGAAAATTGAGATGGATTGGGCACACGCTGAAGAGACCGTCGAATGATATCGTACTCAACACAGGCCATAGATCGAGTGGAGTCCGAATGGGAAATGAAGAGTTAGGAGTATGTCCAAGGATGGCATGGGGGAGATCGTGTTAGGAGGAGGAGATGAGAGACTATGTGCAATCGTGAACGCAGCTAAGGAGGACCACAGAGAACAGGACAGAGTGAAGACGTACTGTTGAAGTTCTATGCTCCATTAGGGACACAAGAGAGCAATAATAATAATAACGTTGACGGGTCGATTCCAATCAACCAGTGTCAGTCTGAAACACATTACACCACATCATCAACAAATGACATTCGCTAAGAAACTGGAGGGCCATGTACACATGCACACACATAAGTGTTTTAGCTACCTCAAGGAGTTCAGATTCACAAATTCATCTATAGATTCGCCTATAATTTTCTAATACATCAGTTCCCAGAGTGAGAAAACATAAGAAGGTTTTTTACCAGTAATTATTGAGACTATGCATGATCAAATAACTTAAATTCCGCAGAGAGAGAGAGAGAGACTAATCAATGTCATGGCGCTTAGTCTACAGTGTTGCCGGCTAACTGAATTCTTGCATACTCAAGTTTACAATGTGGTCACTGAAATATGTGACCCAACATCCAACTCTCTAACATCAATTCAAAGTGAAACACGTGGTGGACAGTCACCTAGCTTTGAAGATATGAAAAGGCTGCCTAGCTGTCTGTCTCTGATCATAGGTGTTTGCGTCTTTTCTCTTGTAGTAAATGGTGTAATAGAATTAGTTATGTTGAGGTTAGGCATCGATCGACTGCTAGGTGTGGAGGGAAAATCAATCGACGACATTGTAAAGTTACATCGATTGAGAGATGATTGGTGGATGATGACTAGCAGTGGAATCCAGCCAAGATGTGCATTTGGTCCTATTTGGGACTCGTCAGCCAAATGGATGTAACTGCACTCCACAGGGAATGATGATGTCCCCACCGAGGCTCGAACCCAGTGGCCATAGTTTCAAACGCCAAAGCGTTATCCACTAGACCACTTAGGCCACGAGAGCCACCTCTTGTGCAACCGGTCATATTAATTAATTAATTGAATTTTAGATTTTCCCGTCGATTGATTGGATAATGCTTTGGCGTTGGAAACTATGGGCACTGGGTTCGAGCCTTGGTGGGGACATCATCACTCACTGGAAAATGCACGTACATCCAGTTGGCTGACGAGTCCCAAATAGGACGAAATGCGCATCCTTGCTGGATTCCACTGCTAGTCACCATCCACCAGTCAAATTCTAATTACATGTTCAGGCATTGTCGAAGCATCTGCACAAGAAGCCGACAGACATGTCAACCTGAGACTGAGCACTTCCGTGCAATCAATCGACGGGAAAATCTAAAATTCAATTAGATTGAGAGATATGTTTAGGATATGTGTTACGCATGCCTCCTAGACATAGGATCGATCAGGTTGGAAAAGAGCTAGTGGTGGTAGTCAAACCAAAACCAAAATGGCTTCATCAGTCCATCAAATCTATAACAGTTAGTTTAAACCAGTCAGCCAATCACGTAGGGAGGTGTAGACTGCTTGTCTGGTTGGTGATTGAATTCATCAGGATGGTAAGAATCAATGTAGGCTGCAGAAAATTAGTGAAATGGCTAAAAATCGTTCTGAATGGCTGGTGCAGATGCGTGTTCTTCATTGTTTGTGGGTGATTCGCCATATCCAATAAAAAAGTCTATTGTTGTTCTTGTATATTAGTATCATTCTTTTTACCTCACTCACACTTGCACTTATTATCTCTCTCTTTTGAATCTGGCTTTACTCTTTTCTCTTGCTTTATGTGGTACATAGAGTGTGGCAAATCGAACTGGTGCACATCTGTGCAAAGTTTTATGTTGAAACCAGTCGGTCAGTCATCTAGCTTGGTGATCTCGGAAGCCACAAACACGAGAAAACCAGGCAGGTTTTAGGCCAGGAAGAAGGTGTATTGATCATATCTTCACCCTTCAACAGATTCTAGAACATAGGCATTCCTACTCACTTCAGCGACTCAGGGATTGACTTGCTACCAGGGAGTAATCTCGTCGTCTTAGAATATGCGGACGATATAGTCCTTCTAGGTGAGGACGCTGACTAAATGCAGAGTCTACTGAACACCTTGAGCAGCAATCTTCGTATGTTTGGCATGCGATTCACCCCTGTAAAATGTAAGATGATGTTGCAGGATCGGACTACACCGACCCCTAGATTAGAAATAGGAAGTGAAGTGGTAGAGCACGTTGACCGCTTCACTTACTTGGGAAGTACCATCTGACGAAATCTCAGCACGAATACAGAGGGCTAGTTTCGCATATGACAGTTTACGCCATCTCTCGCGTAGACGTGATATCCGGCTGGCTATCGACCAAAGGGCGTGTGTACTGCTCATCATTCCGCTCCGTCCTCCTTCACGGCTGGCTGTGAGACCTGACCATTGAGAGCAGAAGACATGAAAAGATTAGCTGTCTTTGATCATAGGTGTCTGCGTTCTATCTCCCGTGTGAAGTGGCATGATAAGGTGAGCAATACTGAGGTTAGGCGTCGACTGCTAGGTAAGGAGGAAAAATCAATCGACGAGACTGTGAGATTACATTGACTGAGATGGTTAGGACATGTTTTACGTATGCCTAGTCATCGCCTTCCTCTACCGACGGGCAATGTTAGCTGATATAGGGTCAGGCTGGAAAAGAGCTAGCGGCGGTCAAACCAAAACATAGCACCAATCAATGAAATCCACAACAGTTAGTCTAAGCCACGCAGGAAGGTGTAGACTTTCTGATTGGGGTCCACGGGACGGTAAAAACCAGTGGTTGGAAACAATCGGTGATATGGCTCAAAATCGTTCTCAGTGGCTGGTGCAGATGCATCCACTCCTTGTGACTTATGATTTCCAATGAAACTATGTTGCTCTTCGTTATTACTATTCCTTTGTCTCACATCTGTGTTTACTGTCTATATTATGCATTTCTCCTACTTTCTTCTCTTGCTTTGTGTGCTACAAGGAGGGAGTGTGGCGACTTGAACTGCTGCACATATGTGCAAAGTTCTATGTCGAAAACCGACCGACCGATCTCACATAGCAAACCTAAGTGATAGAGTATTCAGTCAACATCAACACCAAGAATAGTTGTTTGACACTGATTACTTCTGAAGCGATCGATCAATATGTCTATCCGTTACATTGCTATATAATAGGTCAGTTACGTGACCAAGTATGTATCTGCAGCAGTGGGTAACGTGGGCTCGACAGCAGTTCCAACAAGTGCTAACAAGCACAGATCATATAGGTAGGTGTCCAGTCCGTCCAGGGGGCATCCTGCCGATGACCACCAATCATTTAACAAAAAATTATACCTGGAAATAACTTACTTTTATTTGTATTCACAGCATTACTTTGCTTATTCTTACTATTCTTATCAGCATTGACAGGCAGTTTAGTACTATCGCCTATCGCAGATGCTTTCATCGCTTGAATGGCTACTGCAGAACGATTACGAAGTGATGGTGGCACATAAACAGACGCTGGTTTATTCACTGATGCATTGACAGTTGAATTGGCAGCCTAATCAGACAGATGAAACAAAAAAACAGGACGTTAAGTGAAACACACTTGATATGACATTACAATCCTATTAGTAAGAGATTCGAGTGTTAGTTATGCAGTGCATCGATTAATTTCATGTTAGATTCCTTCATGAACCCATTTCATGTAGAAAACTATTGAAAACCAGACAGCTGTTTTATCCAAGCTCGGGACTCTTTAGACGTACGCACCCATGACCTCATCGATCGTCGTCCTTGAGACCTTTAGGTCACCAGGCATGCAAGTTACCTTCTATTTCAACATATTTTTCATTAACGAGACTGTGAGACACACACACTAAACGTGATGCAAGTCGATGATACCATCCAGTTGTCTAAACTCCTGATCTAATGACCCGCAGTCGATTGCATCATTAAAACAAGACAATATAGATGTCGAGGTGTATGGACAAATACTCACCACCAACGACATTGGCTAGTGCCAGTCGCGATATATCCTGAGTGAAACAGCAGAGGTTGGTATTCATTGGCTGGTCATTGGATCGCGTCCCAGTGGCTTAATGATCAAAGAGAGCTCACTTGTCTTGTAACCAGAAGATCCTGGATTCCACTTCTGTTGGTGGTTGAGTACTGATGAAGAGTCCCAAGCACTAGGACGAAACAGCTGGCTGTCTAGTACTCTCTGATGATTTTCAATGGTTCTCTAACTGATGGCAGCTCATTGGCCTAGACACAAACGGCAGACACCATTAACCGTTTAACAACACAGCTGAAGTTATTGGCTTTTAGCCAATAGGTACTAGTGGGGATTAAAGCAAATTTGTTTTGCAATAACTCATTAACTCAGTCGGGTAATAGATATGTATACAAAGCCGTAACCGGCGGGGGCCACCAAGTTAGGTATGATATTGGCTGTCAGTGGGCGCCATTAATATCGCGAATCGGCAGAAGCTAAAAATTCCGAGTCATAGGATCGGGTGTCACTAACTGAAAGGTATGTGAGCTCGTTTTGTCGTTACTGGAAGGTTCTGGGTTCCCAACCCGATTGATGTGTACTGTTGAAGAGTGCTAGATTAGGTATAATACACCTTGGTTTCTATTGGTCGGTTCGTGATCGGACCTGTAACGAATGAAATCTCTTTTTAAGCCAGCACAATAACTGTGTGACTCATTCTTCGATAAAATGAAACATTTGTATCACCTGATAACTGAATTCATCAGGTAATTATTATTGTTTCCTTCAGTTCCTAGAGGAACATATGGCTTCAGTCGCACGTCTCCATTGCGTTCTCTTCTCCGCCAGTCTTTTCACCTGGCCCCAAGTTTGCCCACATGTTTTCATCTCCTCTTCACACGACCTCCTCCATGTCACCCTCACACTGACCACTAACTCGCCGTTTCCCATTCGGGTTCCACTAGAGCGATGGCCTGGCGTGTGATATCACTTGATGGTTTGTTTTCTCAGAGTATTGCCAATACACCATTTTTTATTCCTGCATATTTCTTACACAATTGGTCCCTGCTGATCTTTCCTGGCCATCTGATCTTGAGAAGTATTTAGCGAAGACAGCTGTTGATGAAGGTGTGTAGTTTGTTTGAGGTGCTCCTCATGACGCGCCAAGTCTCTGATCCATAAAATAGCACTGACTTCACATTGGAGTTGCAAATACGGATCTTATTTTTAATCTGAGTGCTGTCGATCTCCGGACACACTTGAGAGAAATGAAAGCTTGCTTGCCTTGCTTTCCCAATGAACCTCGCTTTGATGATATCCTCATCAGTTCTGTCCGTCTGTACTTGAAACGACGATGCTTCCCAGGTAGGTAGGTAGGTAAATGAGGTTTCTTCTTTCAGATTTCTCCTATTTATGCTGGTTGACTGTTGTCTCTTGTTGTTGGTGTTGCTGTTTCTGTTGGCCAGAAATCTTCATCACCTACCTCTGTTTTCTCTATGTTCACTTTAAGGCAGTCCTATCTTCTCTGGATGCTTCTTCTGCCAACTTGTTGCTTTTCACATGCATATCTTCCAATTTGTGAGAAATCACACAAATATCATTATTGGCGAAATCTAAATGAATTCATACAAAACAAAATGAAATAAAAGAGCTTCAGGATGGTCGGGGTGGGTGCCTTGCGCTGCGGGTTGGCCACCTCTCCGCACACCTCTTGAAATGCTCCCATATGACCGGGCGTCTTGCATAGCCTCTCCTGAGGAAGTCCTACTCACTGCCTTCACGTGGCGGAGGTGTTTTTCACCAAAGTGAGAGGGCGAAAGCGGATGCCCGGCGCTCTTCACCGGGTTGACTGTCCATTGGATGACAGTCTAGGGGAGATGGCTAAACCCTGATTCCAAACCTCCAACGACTGGCCTATGAATCTCACTGGAGCTCACCGGCAGACGTATGGACAAAGGGCTTGTTGGATGTCCTGGATGTCTGGCCCCATTCAAAAAGGCGTATGAACCGAACTCCGGTCACCGGCTGCCAATGGATAGTGGACTCCCTACTCCACTCCTACAGCCTTGTAGGTCACACTTGGTTGTATAAAGGCTAGAGCTGCACTCTCAAACAAAAGGACGAGCGATTCTGGGGACATCACTCGTACCAAATACCTATGAAACTTCATGAACTCTCTTACAAACGGCTCACCATGCTACGACATTCCCGGTAAGCGACGCGCCCTGTGCTCACCTGGTGGCCAGTGTAAGGCTGATATGGAGTGCCTGGGGCTACAAACCGTCTACGGACTCCGTCTGTGGGACAAGAATTGGATAACCCTGTCGCAAAACCTCGCATCAGATCTTCGCGCCTGGGCAGCGATGATTCGAGATGTTCATGAAGCCGGCTCATCCTCCCGTAGGAGATAGCCGAAGTAAAGTAAAGTAAGTATATATAAATATCATCATCTATTGATACAAACTTACAGACATAAAACTTTTTGGTTCAGGAGGTGGACCCAATTTCGCTGGAGATACAATTGATACTTGATATAATTCATGATCGATAGCAGCTGGTAAATCCATTGTAGCTGGTCTAGGTACAGCACGACGTTCAACTGGTTGATAGGATAACTGTTTACCACTGTAATGCCATATTCCAAAGCTTGTATTGAAAAAAAAAACCAAAAAATTAAATTTCAAGTGAATGATTTGCATCTACAATCATGATTGGTTGAGATTATACATGTATATGTATTCATTCCTAGCTATTCGAGTGGGGGATTCAAGCTTTAGAAGTCTTAGACGTGATGGAGTAGGATCGTTAGCCTTCCATCCAAACTTCCTACAATTCGTTAATTCTCGCATTCTGCCTATTATTCTTTATTGTTCCGCCTTAGTTTTTCCAGAGCTACTGAAGAAAGACTATAACATATTATGCAGGATGTTAAATGTTGTCAGCAGAGTAAGCAACGTGCCACTTAACCAGCTTGTTAATATTCTGGTCGACAGGCACTTGGACTCATGTGAAAAATTGGACAAATCCATTTTATCTAGCTCTTTGAGTGGGGGGATTCAAGCTTTAGAAGTCTTAGTAGTGATACAGTAGGATCATTAGCCTCATACCCAAACGTCTCTCTCTTTTACACTTAATATTGGCTGGCGAAGTAAGAGAGATTTAGGAAAGCGTCGACTGGGTAAACAATCTTGGATCTCTCGCTTGACTAACGAACATCGTATCATTGAACATTAACTTATTCGTTATTTAAGCAAAGCTTAATAAATTAACTGAACACGAATACTTAGAGGTTAATTGGTGGATGGTGACTAGCAGTGGAATCCAGCCAGGATGCGCATTTCGTCCTATTTGGGACTCATCACCCAACTGGATGTACCTGCATCCCAGTCAGTGAGTGATGATGTTCCCACCGAGGCTCAAACCCAGTGGCCATAGTTTCAAACGCCAAAGCGTTATCCACTAGACCACTTGGGCCACAAGAGTCACCTCTTGTGCAACGGGTCATATTAATTATTTAATAATGACGGCATGAATGTCAAATATGTGTAAGACAACACCAACAATAAGGAATCTAAATCATCAGTAGTTATTCCATACAAAGAAGGAACCTCGGAAACCATCTTACGCATAATTCTTAACAAGGCAGGAATAAAAATGGCTGGCATTCGAAGCCCCCACAAACTCAATTAGTAACAAGCTTTGTCGGTTAAAGGATCATTCCTGTGAAGTCTTTAAAACAAAACAATCTAGTTTATCTAATACAGTGCAATTTTTGTCAGTTCAAATACGTAGGTCAGAGTAGTAGAACAGGTTCAGTCAGCCAGACTAGATTAGTTGACCCGAATAAGATAAGAAATCTAGAGAATAGTTCAGCTATGCCACTCACTACATGCAAATGCACACAGCACAGCCATACAATAGGATGGGTGGGATAAGGTGACAGTTTTAAAATCTAATCTAGTGTAACAGCAGGGTGGAGGGAGAGATTGATAACAGAAGCTTTGTTTATCGAATCAACTGAGAGGGAACACGTGTAATAGGAATGATTCATCATATGTCCACTCAGACATCTGGAAAATTCTACTACCACGCCTACGACGACAAATAGGAGAGAACCAAGGAAACTATAAAACTCCAGTTTCGAAGTTGTGTGATTATAATTGATATGATTATGAACAATGATAAATTGTGTTCGAAACTGTGTCATCCAGTAAATAATACTGTTTCACTGACTGTGTGATATATCTAATAAACAAACTAATATGAAAGTCTAACAGTTGCGCTTGAGACAAACGATAGATGTACAAACAACCTCCACACAAAAGCATTCGAGACAGCGTACTATTTATTATCCCGTTAACCAAACAGTACTTAAAGCGTGACAAAATCCGGATAGTAATAAAAGTGGAGCTGTAATGTATTGCTAGGTTCTGTAATCTAACAAATGTTAAGCGTTCAAAGTAACTGATGCATTCACACCCCATAGTCACTATATTCTTTAGATTTTTTTTGACTATAGCTTGATTCCACACCGTATTTGCAGTACAAGTATGGAATTTTCAGCATCTGATATCGGTAGCCCAAATTTTGCAGGCCGACCATAGATATCAGGTGTGCGTCGGCAGGGGATCGAACCCCGGACCATGTGCATGGTCGGCAAGAGTCCTAACCCTTAATCCAATATCAGCTAATACTGCTCGGTGAAGAACGCGATGGCCTGGTCATGCGTAAAGCGTCCCCTGTCCATCACAACCTATGCGGTTTCAGAATTTTATCGATTGACCTACTACTTCTTATCGTAAAATCTACACCTATCCTCAATATGTGCATCGGTGGCACAGCGGTTAGGACGCTCGCCGACCATGCACATGGTCCGGGGTTCGATCCCCTGCCAACGCACTCCCTTACCTCGCTAAGCCAGAAATAATGATGGTAAAGAGGGAAGGTTGGACATGAGACTTGCAACCCGAATCCTGTAAAAATAAACACTGCTACAGAAACTTCAAGCCACTAGCTTGAAGTCCTATGTTCCACTGGGGAACGTGAAGGAAAAAAAACCCTCAATATTATCCATTGAACGTGGAAGATGCAATACAAACATTTATTATGATCAAAGATAGCTGACCTCTTTTAAAGGCCATGCATCTGTCACATAGTAACATGTATAAAAAGTACAATGAATGAATAGACAATACAATTAACTAACCCATTATTTACACGTAATCTTGGTGTTGTTGTTGAAAAGATTAAATGTTCCCCGTCAGGTAACCATTGGACACTTGTCACATCAACTGTTTTAAACGATGACAACTGTTCATGTGTTGTAAAATTCCAAACAGACATATCACCAGATAAATTGCCTAAACCAGCTAATAACAACAGTACACTCCAGTCAAAATAACAAATAGAAAAGTTAAGGTTCAATAGCAGATGTAACCGTTTTAAAAAGCTTCTATATTCTTATTACAAAACACAGTGGTACGTAAGAATTAAAGTGAGTTTACAGGATTTCATCATGAGCTAACAACAGTTAGAGAACCATGGGAAAACCTGGGAGTACTGGACAGCCGTTTCGTCCTAGTTTGGGACTCTTCATCAGTACGCAACCACCGGGATTCGAACCCAGGACCTTCTGGTTACAAGGCGAGCTCGCATACCATTAAGCCACTGGGACCTGATCCAATGGCCCATGAATTCTAACTTCTGCCAATTCACGACATAGCGCGACCCCTAGCCAATGTCTTCGGCGAGTATTTGTCCTGACGTTCGACCTGCTTCACCCTACTGGTCACGACTTCCCACTAGAACCCCAGGTGACTACCTACCTGAATAGGGCAAGTCGGGCGTGAGGACAAATATTCGCCGAAGACATTGGCTAGGGGTCGCGCTATATCATGAAATGGCAGAAGTTAGAATTCATGGGCCATTGGATCAGGTCCCAGTGGCTTAATGGTATACGAGCTCGCCTTGTAACCAGAAGGTCCTGGGTTCGAATCCCGGTGGTTGCGTACTGATGAAGAGTCCCAAACTAGGACGAAACGGCTGTCCAGTACTCCCAGGTTTTCTAATGGTTCTCTAACTAATGTTAGCTCATGATGAAATCCTGTAACCAATCAAATCCCTACAAACCAACACTTGTAAAGTGAGTTTAATTCTAACTCAGTTAGTCAGTCAGTCCTATAGACTGATCAGTCATGTTTTCTGGTACCTCGTTATATGGTGCCAATTGAATTCTATCAGTCGAGCTGGCGACGCGGTTACAAAGTTTTATGATGTCACTGTTCTTTGCAATATATTTGCAATACGCTGACGAAATCTCAGCACGGATACAGAAGGCTCGTTTCGCATATGCTAACTTAAGCCAGCTCTGACTTAAGTGGATATGAAATGTGGCTATCGACCAAAGAGCGTGTGTACTGCAAGGCAGCAGTTCACTCCGTCCTCCTTCACGGCTGGCTGTGAGACCTGGAAATTGAGAGTGCAAGACATGAAAACTCTGGTTACTTGTCTTTGATCATAGGTGCCTGCATTTTATCTCCCGTGTGAAGTGGTATAATAAGGTGAGCAATATTGAGAATAGGTGTCGGATGAGGGCTAGGTAAGGAGGGGAAATCAATCGACGAGGCTGTGAAGTTACACCGATTGAGTGAGATGGTTAGGACATGTGTTACGCATACATGCCTAGCCATTGCCTTCCTCGACCGACGAGGAAGCTTTCATTGCTCACAAGTCTATGTAGAGATCCACATCACTCAGCATGAAAATGTAAATAAGATCCGGATTTTCAACTCCAATGTGAAGTCTGTGCTACTTTATGGATCAGAGACATTGCACAGCGACACGGAGAGCACTTCGAACAAACTACACACCTTCATCAACAGCTGTCTTCGCTCAATTCTACTCAAGATCAGATGGCCAGCCAGAAAAGATCAGAAATAATTAGGGATCTCTGGCAACGAGCGAACCAACCCAGCAGGAACCGATTGCGCAGGAAGATATGGCGGAAGATTGGCCACACTCTGAGAAAACCATCAAGTGAGTGACATCGCATGCCAAGCCATAGCTTGAGTGGAACCCGAACGGCAAGTGGAAAGTTGGTCGTCAGTGCGAGTGTGACAAGGAGGAGGTGATGCAAAGAGAAGATGAGAGCATGTGGGCAGACTTGGAGCCAGGTGAAAAGGTTGACGGAGAAGGGAACGCAATGGAGACGTGTGGCTGTAGTCCTATGTTCCTCTAGGAACTAAAGGAAACAATGATAACAATAATCAAACTCTGCAATGAATTCAATAAATCCTTCAGGCCAGAGAGCATTAAACCAAAACAAAATTCTATTACTAACAGAAATGAACAAGTGCCTAGATGAGTGAGTGTCTTTGAATAACACACAGCATAATACCAAAGTTAAGGTACAGATGTACACTTCTTAATCACCATCTCATTAGTTCAATTTTCTCTGCTTGTTTATACATACAACCTGTAATAATCCATCATAAAGAAACTTTAAGAAAATGTTGAATTTGTTTGTTAAAGAAAAAATTCCTCTCTAATTGCTTTGAGTAAAATATTTGTCAGTTTACAAGGTCATCAGAAAATAGTCAGTATTTTTCACACATACAGACAAAGTGAAAACCAAAAGTGAATTTATTGATTTAATTGTTTCTACAGTAGCGTAGTATTATGAGTAAAATTTAAAAGTACTGATGTCAGCTCATGATGAAATCCCTCCAAAAAAACACTAATACTAGAGAATTCATCTGATGCTCACTACCGACTGGCCTTATTCAGGCAGTTAACCTGGGCTGGTTCTAGTGGGAAGCCGTGACCAGTAGGGTGCAGCAGGTTGAAGGTGAGGCAGTAACTCATTGAAGAAGACATTGCGAAGTGGTCGTGCTATGTCATGAATTGGCAGAAGTTAAAATTCATGCAGTGGTCATTGGATCGGGTCCCAATAGCTAAATGGTCTACGAATTCATTGGCCCTGTAACCAGAAGGTCCTGGGTCCGAACCCCCTGTTTTGGGTGCGTACTGATGAAAATTCCCAAACACTAGGACGAAACGGCTGTCCAGTACTCCCACCTAGTTTTCCAATGGTTCTCTAACTGATGTCAGCTCATGATGAAATCCTCCAACATCCCGAATTTCCATACCTACGGCGGTCCATAGCCGGTGGTAAGTTACCAATACAGAACCAAACCAAAATGTCAGTTCAGACAGGTCATTTGTGGCCTGCCTGAAGCAGTTTTCCCCTGGGCTCTACGGTCACGCAACACTAATTCTCCTTCTATTTTAGGTATTGCTAGAAAAAATTAACTTCCACATTGTAGGGGGTGGGGAGCAGCCGGGAAGCCCTGAAGGAACTCTGGGAACCAAGGAACCAATCAAGAACCTATTGTTCTACAAGTATGCCGTAAGAAGTGAAGATGCATCAGACATATGCTGAGGTGACCGTCTAATGAAATTGCATGTCAGGCATTTAGGGGGTATCCGAATGTGATAAGGAGGAGGTCGTGTGAAGAGGAGATGATAGCTTACATCTAAAGACGGCTGTATAAAACAGGATAAAATGTTCCACTCGGAACGCTAGAGAATAATAATAATAAACAATGACACATGGCAATTATTCACAATAGAAAGTACATTGAAGCGTTTGAAATGGAGACAACAGTAAGAGAGGGGCTATTAAATATTCCTCATGATCTTCCTGATTGTTTTCGAATGAATCTCATGACAGAACACGAAAAGTGAGAAGACTGACATATATCAGTTTTGACTTGACACTAGTGAGTAGTGTGATGCGTCTAGTCCTCTCTTTGGTGCTGCCTTGCTGACGAGTGCCAACTAGCACAAAACCTAGGTCCAAGGCTTCCTGCCGATTGCCTCCAACCATCTCATATTATCACAAACAATGTACACCGTGATGGCGAGCTCCCTAGAATGGTGGTCACATTACATCCTGACTGATAGAATTCAGTCTGCACCAAAGAGAGGACTAGACGCATCACACTAGTTACTAGTGTCAAATCAGAATATCCACTACAGTCCTACAAGAGGTCAATCGCGAACCCGAATAGCTCAGTGGTA